GTACTGTAATCTTAGATCAAATAGTAGTTTAGTTCAGTTCAGTTCCGTTGTCGGACGTTTTGACAAGTGGACATTACAAAGGATATCGAATTATTATATTGTATTGCGATATACATACATACATATGTATACATACATACATACATACCAAAGAGAGAGATAGAGAGCCAAGTTCATCTACCTGTACTTAACTTAAGGGCTACTGTTTATGACATGTCCAGTTAATTGCTTGTCTATATATCTCTACTAAAACGGATTTATGTCGGTATGTATGTATGTATGTATGCATGTGTATGTATGTATGTATGTAATGTAAAATACCAAATTTACGACGTTCACCATATTACCCAATTTAATCTTACAGAAGTAGTAATATTGATAATAAAACAAAAATTAATGCTTAATTTTAATTTCACAAATTTTATATTAAAACTTAATATAATTAGTTGAAAATGGCATTTAGCCTTAATGCAAACCTCAGAATCGATTCAAGATTGCCATATTTAATAATAGAAATATTTATTGAATTAAAAAAAAGTTGTTTTTACAATTTGCTCTTTAGTGAAGTCTTTACACTTTCTTATCAGTAGAGTCCCCTTATTATTATTATTAACTTTCCGTAGGGTAGAGCCAGAAATTAAAAATGAATATTTTTGCATTTTCGACGTTTTGAAGGTTTCTGAACATTTTGGCATACTTCAAAAAACTAATGGATGTGTGTGTATGTGTGTTTTGTATGTCCGCATTTTTTCGTCCATTTTCGGACGCACGGATCAACCAATTTGAATGGTTCAAAAAACATTCGATCCCTATTGATAGGGAGATTTGCTGATTAGTTTTTGGCAAAGGCAGGTCCAGGCGTTACGGAGATACGGAGAAAAGAGTGCAGAAAATACAAATAGAGTTCTTGAGAGAACGGAGCATCCGATTTGAATGATCCAAAAAAACACTCAATTTGTAATGATTGGGAGAAGTGGTGATTAGTTTTTGGCAAAGGTAGGCTCAGCGATTTCGGAGATACAGAGCTAAATGTTAAAAAAATAGTAGTTTTTGAGAGAACTAAGCGTCCGATTTAAATGATTCAAAGAACTTTCTGCTTGTTTTAACAAAATAATTGATTTTGTAAAAAAAAATTTGTTTCAAAATTTTTTTTTCGAATTTTTTTTTTTATATTTTTTTTGTATATCGAAAATAATTCAGATTTCTATTTTAATTCTATTCTAATATACTTTAAACAAATAATTTCAACTTTCCAATTCAGTTTATGTAATTTTTATAAATATTAGACAATGTTACAATATTTATAATAATCTATTTTAAAACATTTAATATTCCTCGATCATCTCGTTACGGTACGGGAAGTTCCAGCAATTTGCCTCTAAACACGATGCCTTAATTGCCTTAATTGCAATTGAATTGCAACAGAATTCCACTTACAGCTAGTTTGCCTTGATTTGAATTTGAATTTTCGCTTTAATTTAGAAAAAATTGCTCGGCCAATCTTTGTTCAAAACTAATCAACACGATTCCAAACCAATATCTTTAACTAGAACGTGGACGAAAAATTTCACTTTTCTGCTATTTACAAAGAAACGGCTCGGCCGATCGCTGCACAAAACTTAGAAACAATAGTCCTTCGCGAGTTACATCAAACGGCTTTTAAATTTTTGAAATCGGTGCAGCCGTTTTTGAGAAAACTTCGACAAAAGTTCAAAATTCTGTTCGCATACAAACATACATACATACACACACAGACACACACACTTTTAGTCCAATTGTCGATCTTATTCAGATTCAGAATGGCTTGAAACGTAGAAACTTCTTCTCCTTCCGGAAGTTGAAAAGGATTCTACTGACGAGCAAAAAAAGCGTTATTTTCCAAATTTGGAACTATTGAAAAATATTAAATTTATTTCTATTGATAGGAAAGGAACTCTACTGACACTTAGAAATTCAAATCTAAGTATGAAGAACTTTTTTGAAAAAGTATTGAATAAAAATGAATCTACTGACAGGAAAGAGCACGATATGCAAAAGGACTCTACTGACAAGCAAATTCACATAAAAATATTAATAAAAATTACTATCGTAGTGATTTATTAAGGAAGTCCTTAATAATCTACTATCACGAAGGACTCTACTATCACGCTGAAGAACTCTACCGATGATAAAAGTCGGTTGAGAGATTTAGCTCGTTAGTAGAGTCCTTTTGTTCGTCAGTAAAGTCCCTTTTAGACTGATTTTGATGTTAATCGTCAGTAGAGTCCAATTTAGACCGAATGTAATTTTGGTCGTAAGTCGTAAGTAGAGTTCTATTTAAATTGATTTTGATTTTGTTTGTCAGTAGAGTCCTTTTCGCTATGATTTTTATTTTTCTCGTCAGTAGAGCCCTTTTTGGACTTTGTTAGTTTTTTTCTCGTCAGTAGTTCCCTTTCAAAATAACCTTTAGGTTGCTCTCAGTAGAGACTGATTTTGATTTTGCTGGTCAGTAGAGTCTGATTTTGATTTTGCTAGTCAGTAGAGTCCATTTTTATACTGATTGCCGTATTTTGTAGTAGAGTCCTATTTAAACTGATTTTTAGTTTTTTCTTCAGTAGAGTCTTTTTGCTAGGATTTTTATTTCGCTCGTCAGTAGAGTCCTTTTCAGTCTGACTTTGTGTTTGCTCGTCAGTAGAGTCCTTTTGAACTAATTTTGATTTTGCTGGTCTGTAGAGTTTTTTTTACTATTATTTTTTTATTTCTTGCCAGTAAAGTCTTTTTTAGACTAATTTAGAAGTTGCTTGTCACTAGAGTTTCTTTTATAATCATTTACAATAATTTTTAGTTTGCTCCTTCATAGAGTCCTTTTTAAAATGATTTTGATTTTGCTCGTCAGTAAAATCCTCTTCAAAAATAGTTTTCTCGTCACTAGGAGTCCTTTCATGTCAATACAGTCCTTATTAGTACGGTTTTGATTTTGCTCGTCAGTAGAGTTCTTTCTAGACTTATTTTGATTTTGCTCGTCAGTAGATCCTTTTTATACTGATTTGAATTTTGCTAGTGAGTAGAGCCCCTTTGTTTGTCAATAATATAGTCCATTTTAGTATTCCATTTTAGATTTTGATTTTGCTCGTCAGTAAAGTCCCTTTTAGCCATGTTTTTAGTTTGCTCGTTAGTAGAGTCCTCTTTAGAGTAATTTTTGATTTAATAGTCAGTAGAGTCCTTTTGAACTTGTTTTCAGTTTTGTTGTCAGTAGAGTCCTTTCTCGACTTATTTTGATTTTGCTCGTCGGTACAGTTCTCTCTAGTCTGATTTTGATCTTGCTCGTCAGAAAAGTCCTTTATATAATGATTCATATATTTCGCGTCAGCGGAGTCCTTTTTAGACTGATTTCGATTATGCTCGTCAGTAGAGTCCCTTTCACTTATTTTTAGTTTGCCCGTCATTAAAGTCCTATTTTTATTTAGTAGAGTCTTTTAATATTATGTTTAAATAAATCAGTAAAGTCTTTTTGGTTATTTAATATCATTTTATTATTTCATACAGTTTTGGAATTTATAATTCGCGCCCATTCGATTCAAGTCATCTGACATAAAGAAAGATGGCGTCCAATAACATCAACGAACGCATTCCGAACGATATCATCGGCGACCAATGACGTTTCAGCATTAGTGCAAAACAAAAGATGTTCCAAGATGGACGCGAACTGACATCGAATTGAAGTCGGTTGTCAAAAATTGAAGTGAAAAAGTTGAATTCTTACCCAAATTTGTAGTGAATTGAAATTGTACAAAATGGAAAGTCAACAGGGATCGAGTAAGATGCCGAAGGCTGCATATTTTCTGGTTGTTGCCAGATCATTAACATATTTTCAACAAATGGTGACGAGTACTGTACATAGAACCTTCATGGTGAACAAACTGGGATTTACATCGGGTGAGACAGCTTCTATATTCAGATGGCGAAGATCTATTATGTATTGGTTGTACCTGTTTGGTTCGTTGGTGGCTGAAAACTATCCCAATAAATTCTATATCGTTATTTTAGAAAGTGTTACCTCTATGATTAGTCTATCTTTACTCAGCCTCAACTCGGCGCCAATTGTACGACACATCGGCAAGGAATTGTATTACTTCAGATTAGGAATCGTTTTTGTGTTCATGTTTATCACAAATACAGTCCTACAGGCATTTGAAGGTAACCAATTTAAACTTCCGGAAGAGAACGATGCATTTGAGAAGTATTTCAGACTTTTCTATGTTATGCGTAATTTTTTGATACTCTTTGGAACTTTTCTGGGACCTTTTCTGAAGACACACGTTACTTGCTTGGGTGAACAGGATTGCTATATGCTTTCATTTCTTGCCAGTCTTATTACGGTGTTTGTTGTTTTATCTGTTTACCTAGCCGGATCCAGATTTTTTATCATTACTAAACCATCACGCCGATTGCCCAATTGATTGCTGGATGCATGTGGTACGGATTCACTCATTGGTTGAAGGAGAGAAAATCTAATCCGAAACCAAATTGGTTGGATCATGCTGAACCAAAGTACGGTGCACAACTTGTTTTGGATATAAGGACAGTGTTGAACATGATGATGATATTTTGTTGTGTGCCGCTTTATAAAGGTGTTTACTATATGTACGAAGACGAATGGTTGTTCCAAGCAAGTAGAACGGACACACAATTTGGATCGTACACGTTTATAGTAGAACACTTTGAACTGGTAAATCCTTTTTTGGCTATAGTTATGTTACCGTTTTGCCAATACGTTATGGATCCTTTACTCGTAAAGTTAAAATTGGATAGAACTTTTAGGAAAATGATATTCGGCGGTATGATGGTAGCACTCGCTTTTTGGATTTCCGGGTTCATCGAAACACGCATCAAGATAAATTTACCAGAAATTGCCGAATGGCGAAGAAGTGCAGATAAGGATATTTAACGGATTCAACTGTCCTGTTGCAATTGATGCATCGAGTATTGATCCTCATACTTTTGTATTGAGCCCTCGTGGAATGTACACAAATAAACACGTCCCTTCGGCATCCTATCAGTCAATAGCGATTTCTATGAAGGGAACGTGTTTTGCACCTGCAAGCAAAACAATAAACGCCGAAGCCGGTACATCGGTTTCGATATTGCTTAAGAATGAAGACGGACAGGCTGTTGTCATATCCTACAAAGAAAGACTGGAAAAATCTGAAGCTGGTGAGCCTATTATCACAGTCGCTGGTGCCAGATTGATGGACAGTGTCATTATCAAGGATTCTAAAGGAGTAGAAGTGGCGATGACTCCAACACCAACTTTTATTGCTGGCGAACCGGTTATAACCGATGGCACCAGATTAAAACAAGTCGTCGTAGAAAAGTACGAATTGTTACTTAACGGCATCAGCATCAAGAAATTCGACATGTACCAAGGGGGTGTTTACTTGGCAACAATATCCGGCAAAACTGCCGACTTTTACGAGATCACAGAACCTAACGTTGTCCATATATCGTGGATGTTGCCGCAGAGCATTTTGCTGATTTTTGGCGAAGTTTACTTTGGAATTACCTTTGAGCAGTTTAGGTACACCGAGGCTCCTGGTTCCTGCAAAGTGTTGGTGATGGCTTTGCAACTTGCGATGAATTCTTTGGGCGAAATGTTTGTCGACAGTGTTCTTCGTATTGAGGGAATTGATCACGATCATAAATTGTATATTGAGGCGACTTGTCTTGCTATCAGTATGGTAATTTTCGGATTTGTGGGCAAGATCTTCAAACCTCTGGCTACGAATAATGTCCTTATCTGAGGAAAAGTAGCCCAATGTTGAAAATTATTTTTTGCAAGAAATCAATTCAGATGTAATTTAATAATATAACGTTTGTAATATGTAAATTTTAATAAATTAAGTACTTAACAGTTTTATCAAACCAAAAATGCTATTTTAGTGTTACAGATAATTTGAAGAATATATTGTAATAATCAGTCAAACTTTACTGACATGCGCAAAAGCAAATGGCAGATAAGATGACCATAGAAGTAAAAGGACACTACTAACAAGTAAACTGAATTTATAAAACTAAAAAAGAATTCTACTGACGTGCAAAATCACCTGAGACCGAATTAGTTAAGTAGATGAAAATTTTGAAACATAAACTTAACAAATTTGGTCTCAGGTAATTTGGTTTTTTGCTCGTCAGTAGAGTTCCTTTTTAATAAAATTATTGCTTCTCTTTTTTAAATTTTCAAATCCCAATTGCTCGTCCCAATTGCTCGTAAGTGTCTTGTCATTTTTTTTTCCAGTTTGTACGTCAGTAGAGTTCTTTCGTATTTTTTTTTTCAAATCCAGTTGCTTGTCAGTAAGTCCTTCTTTATGTTTCTCAAATCCAGTTTGCTCGTTGGTAGAGCAAATTAATTACAGTTTGCTTGTCAGTACTCCTTTTTTTATTTTTCTCAAGTGCAGTTTGATTGTCAGTAGAATCCTTTCGTATTTTTTCACAAATCCAGTTTGCTTGTCAGTAGAGTTCTTGCGTAATTTTTCTCAAATACAGTTTGTTCGTCAGTACAGTTTCTTGACAATTTGTCAAATCCAGTTTGCTCGTCAGTAAAGTCCTTTTTCCATCTTTCCCAAGTACAGTTTGCAGTCAGTAAAGTTTCTTTTTAATTTTGTACTTCAAGTTTGCTTATACGTAAAGTCCTTTTTTAATTTATCAAATGCAGTTTGCTTGTCAGTAGAGTTCTTTTTATATTTTCTCTCAAATTCAGTTTGCTTGTCAGTAAGGTTCTTTTTAATTTATTAAATACAGTTTGCTTGTCAGTAGAGTCCTTTTGTAATTTTTTCTCAAATACAGTTTATTTGTCAGTAGAGTCTTTTTTCGGACTTTTTTTTTAGGTCCAATTTGCTTGTCAGTAGAATTACTTGCAAATTTTTTAAATCCAGTTTGCTCGTCAGTAAAGTCCTTTTTTTAATTTATCAAATATATTTTGCTCGTCAGTAGAGTCCTTTTTATTTTTCTGAAAAACAGTGTGTTCGTTAGTAGATATTATTGTCAGTAGAATCCTTTCGTAATTTATCAAATCCAGTTTGCTCGTCAGTAGAGTCCTTTTTAATTTACCAAATACAGTTTGCTCTGCAGTTGAATCCTTCTTTTAATTTTGCTCTTCAGTAGAGTCCTTTTACAGTTCATTTTTAGGATGGTTAGCTACTTACAAAAAAAATTACTAAATTCGTCCTCGGGTGGTTTTGTCCGTCAGTAGAGTTTTTTGCTTAGAATATCTATCTGTGCTTTAAAACACTATTTTTGTTCAGAAAAGTTTATTATTTATTTATTAACGTTTCATTTACATAAAACAATAAAATATTTTATTAATATCGTTACAGAACTACATTTTCGAATATAACACTACATATATACATACACATACGTATACACCTACATAATATAAAATCGGTCGTAAAATTTTCATTCGAAAACTTTGTAAATCGCGCGCACCGAAAAGAGTATATAGTCGAGTCGAGAGTGGCTCTTTATTTTTCATATTTCTACACTTTTATAGATATATGTACATTTATATATTTCTATACTTTTTCACTACTTTTATGTCTTTATATCGTCTCCATATATGAATGCAGCTATTTGATATCACTCTGACTAGGACGACGTCGACTGTGTCAATTCGAAAATATAAAAGTGTCTCTCTAAAACTCTAAAACTGTCTCTCACACTTTATATTTATAAAATATTTTCACTGTTGCAAAAATTCATCAGCTTTTATACGACCGTCGACAAAGCAGTGGTGGACAAGGAATTTTAGGATTTATTATGTGTCCAAGGATGATACTATTGATCAGGCAAGATTTTTCGTGACCAGAATCAATATAATGACGGTTGCAATAAATATAATTAATTATTTTGTTACAATTCTACAATATGTAGCAGTGGCAGCCAAGAGATTTTAATTAAAATGCGCGTAATGGTCAACAAATTTATTGTCTTGTCTAGAAAAAAACGATATCGACAACGTGCGAAAAATTTAAAATTATTGGTGACGAGCAAAACCACCTCAGATCAAATTAAGTAAATTTTATTGTGAGTCGCTAAAAAGTGAACTGAAAAGGACTCCACTGACAAGCAAAATAAATTTGACAAAATTCAAAAAATGATTCAACTGCAGAGCAAACTAGATTTGAAAAGTTAAAAAAAGACTCTACTGACGAGCAAACTGGATTTAAGAAACATATAAAAAGGACTTTTCTGCCGAACAAATTGGATGTGAGATAAATATAAAAAGGACTCTACTGCTGGGTTTAGATAAATTGAAAAAAAAAACTCTTCTGACGAGCAAACTGGATTTCAAAATTTAAAAAAACGCTACTGACGAGCAAACAGGGTGTAAGAATTTCTTAAAAAAAGCTCTAGTTGCAAACAAATATAAACAAAACTAAATCTAAATAAAAATATTACAGTAATTATAAGTGCATGATTATATTAAAAATAGAACTGTACTGACGAACAAACAGAATCTTCCGGGGATTGTTATAAGTGGGTCTTTCTGCTAAAAAAGAATTCTACTAACAAGCAAAATCACATAAGACCGAATTTAATAATTTTTTTAATAAGAAAATAACGGTTCTGGAAATAAGCGGAACAAATCATAAAAAAGAACTCTACTGGCGAGCAAATTGTAGTTATAAAATAAAAAAGAACTTTACTGACGAGTAAAAGAGGTATAAACAAATTGAGAAAGAACTTTACTGACAAGCAAACTACATTTAAAAAAATGAAAAACGACTTTACTGACGAGCAAACTAAATATAAAGAATCTAAAAAGGGACTCTACTGACGAGCAAACTTGGTTTGACGAACAGAAAAGGACTTTACCGACGAGCAAATTATATTAAAAAAATAATAATTACAACCTTTGTTTGAAAAGTTAAGAGAGATCTCTTAACTGACAAGCAAACTGAATTTACAAAAATAGAAAGGACTATACTGACGAGCAAATGTAATTTGAATATAAAAAATGCATTAAGAATATTAGGGAAGATCATTTATCAAAAATGATGAATCTTGCGAATAAAAGAATCATTTTACATTAGCCAAGAAAATTGAAAAAAAATTCTAGTGACGAGCAAATCAAATTTATAACATTTTATAATAATTTTGAGAGCAGTACTCAATAAAAGTGAACTCTTCAGACGAAAAAACTCGCTTAAAAATATTATCAGTAAATTTTTTACATTAACACATAAATATTTTGAAAAAAGAACTCTATTGACGAGCAATCCGGAGTATATAGCGCAATATTAATATTGTCCCTATTCATAAAATCCATGTTTCTAATCCGTAAAGAGTCTTACTCCAAACGTAGGCATTTATCTAGTTTATGCTCGGATTGCTCGTCGGTAGTGTTCTTTTTCATAGATTTCATATTTTTTTATTCTTACAAAGGGTGTCAAAATGCGTGTGTTGCAAAAGAAGTAGAATCAAATACGACATCAAATTATTTAATTGCCCCAAAATGATAATAATAATAAACTAGTGGTGTATGGCATCGTGCCTTAAGGCAAGTTGCTGGAACTTTCCGTACCGTAATGAAATATTCGAGAAATTTTAAACGTTTTCAAATATATTATTATAAATACTGTAAATTTCATTATTTTTGCTACTTGTTATATCTGAACAAATCAAATGTAAATCATAAATCAATTTATTTCCAGAATAATTAACAATGGTTATTTCATTTCGAATTCAATTTAAAAAATAAATAGTTGCCTAATTTACACAAAATTAAAAAGTGCTCCCGTACAGTCACAGTCTAAACGCACATGCAAATAATTCTGTGCGACATTTTCACTTATACTGTGCTTAGCTTGGCGGCATTTTCACATTTTTCAATAGTTTTCACAAAATTGGAAAAGTGCTCCAACATAAATAGTCTAAACGCACTTGGTTAAACATTTGTACCAGAGTGGCGCTTAGACTGTGCTTAGCCTGGGTAATTTTTTTGAATTTTTAATCCAAAATTACAAAAATATTTTTTGAAAAAAAGAATTAGAAACAAATTTTTTTTTCAATTATTTTGTTAAGCAGAAAGTTATTTGAATCAATAAAATCGGACGGTTAGTTCTCTCAAAAACTGCCATTTTTTTTAACATTTAGCTCTGTATCTCCGAAACCGCTGGACCTGCCTCTGCCAAAAACTAATCACCAGTTCTCCCCGTCATTACGAACTGAATGTTTTTTGGATCAAGGACTTGCCTTCGATCATGTAATAACAATTAATTTACCACTTCTGCCACTTCGATCCTCCTGATCCCTTATTTGGCCCGCGGTCGTTTCGCCCAAAATTCAATACGAAACTGGCTAAATGTAATTTTAGTGAGCGAAAACAGGAAATTAAAGCGGTCAAACGCTTTCATATGGTGAGGGTGACCAGTGGGGTGCGATAGTGTTGGCGTTAATAAAAGGTTTTGATTGCAAATTTGTCAAAGACAGCGTGAACACATCTACACATCTACATCTACAGTCGTGTGATGTGTTTATTGCATCGACACCCGGAATGGAAATCAAATTTTAGACGGTCACGGAAGTCGCCCGGAGTCGTCCGGTTGACCGCCGTAATATCCGGATACAATATAATAATAACTAGCTGTAAGTGGAATTCTGTCTTAAGGCAATTAAGGCATCGTGCCTTAAGGCAAATTGCTGGAACTTCCCGTACCAAAAATTATTATTTTTTTAAAAACAAAAAACATTTTGGAAAAAAAAAATTACTTTGAAAAAATAAGATTTTTGAGAAACTATA